AATACTGCCATACTGCCATATACAGCCCTATACTGCCATAACAGTCTAAATATAAACAAAAACACAACCGCAGCTCATGAATTCCACTCAACTATAATCATTAGAAATTCACACTGAGCCGGAAAATAAAAGTAAAAACAATCAGTTATTCAAGTCAGTTCAAGAATAGGATAGAAACCTTTGAAAATGTTGAGAGCGTCCCGCGTACACTACGATCAAGGACAGTTCGAATTTCTTCAATCGGAGAAAGTTACCTCTCAGATGTTTCGAACTCTAAGAAACGCGGAGAATGAGCGTTGTACGTAAAACTACATTAGTCTACACTATAGTCATGTCGATGATACAAAAGTGCGTGAAATAACCTTAGACCAACATTCACTTATAACAAAAAATTCTAAGATAACTCACACGTAGGTATTCTTCCTCCAAGTAGGCGGTATTGGTCCAGTGAGAAGGTTTCCAGTAAGAAATCTACCACAAAAGAAAATAAAGATATCAATATAAAAAGGTTAATATTTATTGAGCTAGACTGAGCATTGAGGGAGATAAGCTAGTTATATTGAATCGATTTAGTTAACTGTCTTGAGGGACCGTTCTATATAGAAAAGTGTTTTAATCAAGGTTGTCAAGATCTCAATCTATATCTTAAAATATTATTATTTTGCAATCTTACTCACCCCAATGATCCTGATCTTAAATAGAATTTTGTTGTAGCCAAATTGTAAAAAACAAATAGTAAAACTGTTGAAAACAAATACAATGAACTTGATCCTATGAATTAAAACTGAAGGTTGTAGCCAAACTGTAGAAAACAAATACCCCAATGTAAGAAACTGATCCTATGAGATAAACTAAGATATTCTAACATTAATAGTAGAGTAATGTAAGATTCTTTTCGTATATATATTCTCACACATTCGAGGGCAAGTGAGTATGCTTACAAATCAGTAATACTAGTAAGGTTCTAACTTCTAAATTGATTGTTTCAATCCTTGTTGAATGTTTAAAATCTTGATCATCAACCTATTTCAATTCTATTCTCCTATTTCATATCATATTGTTAACAGTTTCTTATTGGGATTTTGTGTACTGTTTTTTTTTCCTGATGGCTGCTTCTTTGGTATCAGGTGAAGAAAATTATCATCCATGCTATGCGTGATGTGGTTGAAAAATTAGAGAAAGCAAGGTTAGTGATTGCAAACTTCAGACTCTTTGTTTATGAAATTGTATACAGTATACTTGCATCTCTTGATTATCCTGTTTGCTTTGTTGTCAAAGGCATTGATAAATTAAATCCTATGTAAATTGATATTTGTTAGGTTCTCTAGACTAACAGAAAAAACAAGCATTGTTCTAAATTCCATCAGCTACGATCAATTAAAGGCATTGTGCTTATGCTATTGAACTTGTGTTCTTGAAGAAAACAAAAACAAAAACAAATAACCAATGAACCATAATTTGAAATATGATAAAACTGAACCTAGATGAAGTTTATCAATGATGAGAATGAACACAATGTTCAACAGTGTTCTCCCTTCCAACACCAGACAATATACATTTTAATAGAACAAAAAAAAAAAACAATAGCTACTTCCAGTACCTAGTTCTAATAGTTGCATTAACAAAAAATCTGAGTAAATGAACTTACTCTGTATTCTTTGAGGAAGTAGACGAAGACGAAGACAGTTTCACGGAGGAAGACGAAGACTTGCGACGACAGTGAGGACGGACGAAGACAGAGACAGTTTCACGGAGGAAGACAAAGAATTGCGACGACGGCCGGAGGACGGACGAAGACGGAGGAAGAAGGTTGGGGTTAGGGTTTTCTACGAAATCGTGTTTGTGGAAGAGAAGAAGAGCTATTGTACTGTTCGTTTGAAGAAGAGAAAAGAATGAATAATGTTATTTTGATGTTTTAATTTATTAAATTAAAAATAATATAAGCTATAACAGCGCTTTTGAAAGCGCTTTCATAGGGGGGCTTTTACCAACGCTTTTTAGGGTAAAAGCGCTTTCATAGGTCCAGCTATGCCAGCGCTTTTGAAAGCGCTTTCAAAGGCCAATCTTCCACAGCGCTTTTTAAAAAGCGCCTTCATAACCCTATTATTTCGTTTTTATTAATATTTTTATTTGACCTACCACAGCGCTTTTAATGTAAAAAGCGCTTTCGTATCCCCCACCTATGCCAGCGCTTTTAAAAAAGCGCCTTCGTAGGTTTCCCTTTTTTTTAATTTTGTTTTTTGTGAAGGCTATGGCAGCGCTTTTTCAATAAGCGCTTTAGTAGAGGCGCTGCAAAAAGCAGTTTTTGGCGTAGTGCATCTAATATTCTCATCCTAACCTGTTAATTTATTTGTTTCAGACGTTCAAGCGTAAGAATGGTAGTCGCAACCAAGACCTCTGAATCTCAACAACATCAATAACCAACAACACCCGTTATAGATCTATAAAAGAATTTCCTTCAAATGCAATTTTTAACGTTAATTTGATTCATACATATGTAAGTGACGAAGGTAAGTGATTGAAACATGTGATTGAAAGTTGAAACTGAAATGTAGTTTGGAATATCATATTTTATGTTGTATTCTTTTCGTTTTCAGGGTTGTCTTACTATTTCTCCTTTTCCAAAAAAAAAAAAAAAGCTTAACTTGACACATAAAATGGGATATCTTTATCTTTAGGTTTGAGAGTTGCAGAAAGGGATTTTTGAGCTTAACTTGACAAATATATTTTTGACACATATTTTGAATGATCACATTAATACATTTTATTTTTATGCATGATTTGATTTCAAAAATTTATGATCAATAAATTTTAAATGTAATTATAATTTAACCAATAAAATTTTCTACCTACTTCTAAATATATTTGTGTATATTTTTTGAAAGGTTACATTTATATTCTTGAAAAAAATAACGTAGTTTAAATGATGTACTGTTAACTATAAATATATTGTTAATAAAATTAACAAAAAAAGTATATTATAAATATATAAAAGATAAAGTAAATAAGAACTCTAATGTTTATCTTAAATATTTAATTTATCATTCTATAAATGTAAGAATAAATATTATTTTGTAATTATTTAGATCCTTATTTGACCTAAAATAAATTATTTCTATTTCTATAAAAAGGTTAATAAAACAAAACAAAATCAATTGAGATTTGATAATTTTTTTAAGTTTATGAAATAACTAAAATATATCATAATCAATAAATTTTGAATGGAATTATAATTTAACCAATAAAATTTTCTACCGACTTCTAAATATATTTGTGTATATTTTTTGAAAGGTTACATTTATATTCTTGAAAAAAATAACGTAGTTTAAAGGATGTACTGTTAACTATAAATATATTGTTAATAAAATTAACAAAAAAAGTATATTATAAATATATAAAAGATAAAGTAAATAAGACTCTAATGTTTATTTTAAATATTTAATTTATCATTCTATAAATGTAAGAATAAATATTATTTTGTAATTATTTAGATCCTTATTTGACCTAAAATAAATTATTTCTATTTCTATAAAAAGGTTAATAAAACAAAACAAAATCAATTGAGATTTGATAATTTTTTTGAGTTTATGAAATAACTAAAATATATCATAATCTTTTCAAATTAACTTTATAATTGTAATCATGATAAAAAAATATTAAATGGTAATCATGAAAATTTAATGATAAATGATAATCATAAAAATTTATGATAAAATAAAAAATTATTGATACAATCATTTTAATAAATTAAATAATTTATAATTAATTTTATAAAGGTGAATAAATTACAAATAATTTTATAAATGTAATAAATTAAACTATTTATAAAATTATTTATATCAATAATAGTAAATTACATATATTTTAATAATGGACACACGAATTCAACATGCTTATAAACCGGAAAAAAGTTACAATAATTTTATAAACAGGAATAAGTTAATGTCATTTTATATAAATTAATGATATAATATAATGTATTAAATATTTATATAACACTTTATTAAATAAATTTATTTCATGAAATTAATTTTATATAATATCATTAATATTTAATTATTGAAAATTCGCAATAAACTGAAAAATATTTATTACAAATCGAATATAATAAAACATAAGAAATAAATACATAATTTTGAAATGTTATATATGATTCATTGTAATAATAAATGTTAAATTATTATTTAATATTATAATAAATTTTCCGATATTCTTAGATTTAATTTATTCTTTTTCTCGTATATAATAATAATATTATATTATTATTTAATATTATAATTTTTGATTGACAATAATAAATTCATTTTAATTAGTTAGACATTAAGATAATAAATTTAATATATATCACTAATACACGATATTTATTTATAAATGTAATTAACTAAGAGACACATATTTATCACTGTTGAATAAATAAATTTAAGATGATATGGTAAATATTTATTTTTACAATTATTTTTTACAATTATTCTGCCAATTACGTGAAACTATTCTTTACATACAATTATTTTTTACACGATATTTTTTACATAATTATTCTGCCTATATTTCATTTTCGGTTTCCAAAGTGAAACTATAATGATTTTTTCTGACCATTGCTTTTCTTTTCAATTCAAGATTAATTGGCAGAATGGTTAGAATCTGGAAAGTTACCTTTTCTTATTGGTACTTGATTGTCCATAATTATAACATTTTTAATTAAATTTTGAAATAACACTTAACACTATTTAACGCTATTATTATTATTAATTATTATTATTAATAATTAAAATGGTTCACAAAAATAATCACTTGGTATTCTGTTGACTTCAGTATTTTACTTCAAAATCTTGGAGCCGTGAATGTTGTATTAACAATTATATTTATTATCATATAACCAAAAACTTTATTCATTTTATGTCTACAATCATTTTATGTGGTTAACAAAAAAAAATTGAATGACAACCATACAATCAAAGTGATTTTCTACCCATTCATTTTTGCATCACCTAACCAACACTATGGAACCACAAGTTGCAGCAATGGCAAGACGTAAAAGGAAGCAGATTCTTAAAGATAAAAGATTGAAAAAAAAGGAAGAACTGATGAAAACACAATCAATCCCATTGAAAACTCTCAAAGGTATTATGTTCCAACCATGGTTAATATCAGAACACCACTATCTGATTTAACTTCATCAATCTTTAATGAAAGAAATACGAGTTCACCTTCACCAGCATCTGCATCAAGCAACTCAAGTACAATGAAGAGTTTCAATATTGTTTCTACAAATCAACTGGCTGCTTCAGCACGACAGCGGAAGAAAAGTATTATGGAAGGTAAGATGCCTCAATCTTACAAACTTCATAACAACCTTAGCAACACTATGTTGTTACCATATTCATTTGACATTTAATTTTGCTGACATGTCAATCTATCATAATTTTACACTATTTTTTATTTATTTGATTTATTAATTTATTTTATTTATATTTGAATTTCATTTATATTTGAATTCCAATGTTTTTTTTGACAGAATTTGAATTCTAATGTTTGACTCACGGTTAATGAGGAAGGAATTGGAATGGCCAAATTAGATCTATTATAATTAAATGGAATATTATTCATTGCATGATTTAAAAATACCCACTATTTATCATTACACTACTAGATTAAATGTATATTATTGGAATTATAATGAATTATTTTGATATTCCAAGATATCACAACTTCCCATGCATTCTAAACCCTATATATAGCCATTCTAAACCCTTACTCTTACACTCCTCAATCTTCTTCATTCTCCATTATTTTCAAAAGGTTACGTATTATTTTCCAATTCTTCTTCATTCCCATATTTGGATTCTCTGTGTCCATTTTAATACAGATTTTTGTAACAGGTCTAATACAGATTTAAATAACGTAAATTTATTCTCTTATTATACATATTTCTTTAAAATAATTTATTCTCTATATCAAATATAATGAATTTGTATTTTTCATTATCTATCAAATATATAAATTGATACTTTCCTTTTATTTTAAAATGTGGTATTTAATGTCATTCACTATTTATACTTTCATGTTACATTATCTAAAACCATGAAAAAATATTTAAAAAATATTAACTTTTTTTCCATAAAAAATATTTACGTATTTCCATTATTTTACTTTTCTATTAATTGACAACATAAAAAGAGTTATATATAAACAATGTATTCAAAATATTAAAATAGATTAATAGTATAATTAAATAGTTATATAGATAACATTTTTTTAAAGATATTAGTAAAGTAATTCATGTAATGTGCAAATTTTACTTATAAGCAAGTGTTAAAAAGAAAAATAAATAGATGAAAATACATCTTAAGGTAAATTAGAGATAAACAATTAATGTTAACAATATTACTTCTCTAAGCTTAAAGTTGTAAGTGATTGATTTTATACTTTTTCAAAAGTAAAGAAAATTTTATGCGATTATTTTTTAGTAAAGAATGGATTATATTATTCATTATAATATAACATGTATGACTCCAAAGAGTCATATTTAATATGTATGAGTTTTTAGTGATTAGTATCTAACACACAAAATATATGAAAAATTAAAGAGAATTAATATAATTTTTTATGATATATTTCTAAACATATAGTTGTTGGTGTTTATGGGGATCAATTGACATGCATCACTCTAAAAGTCATATTTAATATATGAGAATTAAGGAAATTATATTTTTAATAGTTTATCTAATATTAAAGAATATAATTTTAAATACAAAATTGATAACAGATATGTAGTTCCTTACAATCCATATTTGTTGAAGAAATTCCAAGCACACATCAATATGGAGTGGTGTAATCAAAGTACTTCAGTTAAATACTTATTTAAGTATATTAACAAGGGGTATGATAGAATTACTGCTGCTGTTGTCCAAACTGACGGTGATGGATCTCCCTCGGTCAAAATGGTTGACGAAATCAAGCAATATCTTGATTGCAGATATATCTCACCAAGTGAGGCATGTTGGAGACTTTTTTCATTTCCTATTCATGGTAGATCACCCGCAGTTGAAAGGTTGTTCTTTCATCTTGAAGGAGACAACTCTGTTTATTATACCGATTATGAATTGATAGATGAGGTGCTTGACAAACCAACTGTGAAAGAATCTATGTTTACGGCATGGATGGAAGCAAACAAAGCATACCCAGAGGCAAAGAATTTGACGTACTCACAATTTCTTTCCAAATTTGTTTATGATAAAAGATATCGTCGATGGAGACCGCGTAAAAGAGGAAATACAATTGGCAGACTTATTTGGGTCCCTCCAAGTACGAGTGAGTTATATTTCTTGAGAATGATGCTAACAGTCGTCAAAGGTCCAACTTGCTATGAGGATATAAAATTTGTGGGTGGAAAAATTCAGGATTCTTTTAGGGATGCATGCTTCGAAATGGGCTTTCTTAACGATGACAAGGAATATGTTGCAGCCATCGACGAAGCAAAGAATTGGGGTTCCGGGCTATTCTTGCTTCAACCATTGAAGTTGTGGACAAAATCAATCATTATGTATTAGACTTGATACCAGGTACATGTGTTTTATATTTACTGTATTATTACATTCATAATATATATATATATATATATATATATATATATATATATATATATATATATATATATATATATATATATATATATATATATATATATATATATATATATATATATATATATATATATATATATATATATATATATATATATATATATATATATATATATATATATATATTTAAGAACATAGTTTTACTAATTTATTTATGTTTTGCTTTTAAACTTTTTTTTAGGAGAAGAGAAAGAGTATTTGAGTTTTGATTCCATTGATAGAACAGATTCAAGTTATACTGAAGCATATGAAGTTCTAACTCCTGAATTTCTCAGTAAATTAAGAACGTCAGGGCTTCCCAATCATAGGATCAAATTGAAGGTTGGTACACCTATTATGCTAATGAGAAATTCGGACCAAGCCGATGGGTTGTGCAACGGAACAAGATTAATTGTTACAAGATTTGCAAATCATGTCATTGAGGAAAATATCATGTCTGGAAAGAACATATGTAACATTTTTTACATTCCACGAATGTCTATGTCACCTTCTGATTCACGTTGGCCATTCAAGTTGATTAGGAGACAATTTCTGATTATTGTATCCTATGCAATGACAATTAATAAGTCACAAGGTCAATCTCTTGATAGTGTTGGATTGTATTTGCCTACTCCTTTGTTTAGTCATGGTCAATTATATGTTGCAATTTCAAGAGTTAAGAGCAAAAGTGGGCTAAAAATCCTAATTCATGACAAGGAGAATGTACCGTGTTCTACTACTACTAATGTTGTGTACAAGGAAGTCTTTCAAGCACTTTGATAGTTGGTAAACTTTATATCTTTACGATTCAAATTAAAAATCTATTTTGAATTAAAATATATAGTATGTACATTTTCCATGTATTTCAAGAAGTATATAATTTTTCCTATTTGTTCATGCAGACGTGATTTGTTGATAGGACCGACGCTTGCTACAAATATGGAGTTAAATGCCAACATGGTTTACATGAGACATATACTCAACTGAAAACATGGTAACATACTTAATAATTTAATAATCTATAAATGTAATGTGAATCCAGACGAGACCCGTGCGATAGCACGGGTTTGTTACTAGTTTTAAATAAAAAATCAAACTACATTAAGATATATGTAATGCGTCGGGAAATTGACTTTTGAATTTTGAATTTTATCGTAAATATTGTAGATAACATGAGTTTCCACCGACTTTTCTTTTATCTAATAAAGGAAAGGTGAAAAAAACAGGAAAAACCTTTGTGAATTTTCTGAGAAAGGGAGATAAGTTATGAAAAGGGAAGGTGTTAGCACCCTTTTCATCCGTAGTTATCTACCAGGTCTTAATCGCTAGCCCACTTTGAAAATGCTTTGTGTTTTGTGTATGTTTGCAAATATTTTGAAATTGCCTAAGTATGACAATTTTGTAATGATTCTCATATCATTGAGAATGTATACAAAATGTTTGTTTTGAAAATATTTTGAAAGAAAATATTGTTTTATGGAAAGATATTTTGTTTTGAAAAGTTTGTGAGAAAGCGACTACGAGTGTTCTACCTACTCAAAAAAGTCTTTGTTCTTTTCCTCTTCCTTTAGAGAGTGCTACTCTACCATTAGTTAGTAGAAAGCCTTATCATTGAATGTGAGGGACAGGCGCGGGTCATCGTACAGTCATATAAGGAAACTTGTAGGACGCTTTATCAATTTTTGTAAGGCACTAAGATGATTTACCGAAGGCAGCATCGAAGGGTCATCAAGGGACTACGATCTCTTAACTGAGGATCTTTGCTAAAGCATCCCACGTTCGAGGGACATGGTTGTTTTAATCTGAGGCAACAAGTGAGGGTCACCCTAGAGGTGCGCGTGTGCGAAGTATTTTGATTTCAAGTATTTGTCTTGAGATTAGATTTTCTAATATTTGTTTTTTAGGTCTTGCCATGCACGCCTAATTACTAGCAGTTTTATATATATATATATATATATATATATATATATATATATATATATATATATATATATATATATATATATATATATATATATATATATATATATATATATAGCAGAAAATAAAAATGCGAGAAATAAACTACGCTATTACATCACTTCGGGGATGGGGAGTACAAAATATAAATTGAGGAGAAAAATATAAATAAAATCCTAATTTATCTATTACAAGCTTTGAGCAATTACGTAATTATATAAATGGGAAAAATAAGCAAACACGCAGAGACGATGAAGAGGAAAAATATTTAAGATCTAAAATATTCAAAGGGTTTAAGAAAATATTTTTGTTGTTTTTATTTAGAAAAATATTGGAAGTGATTAATAAAAATAAATCATAATTCTTAGTTAATTTATAAACTAAAAATAAAACAAGATGATTAAATTAAATTAATTTTAATTATCAAAAATTTAATTAATTAATTAAGAAAACCTAAATCTAAATTTTTTGATTTTATGAGTTTTTTTATGATTAAATAAAAATGATTAAAAGAAATAATTAATTGAAATAAAATAATAAAAAAAAGTTAAAAAGGGCTTGCAAACAAGTAAAAAAAGGGGTGAGAAAGAAGCAAAAATATCTAGGCCCAAATTAGGGAGCCCAGGTTACTACGCTGGATCCAGTGGAGGTGACCTTCATGAGATGCATCATGGGGCTTGCGCTTGGTGCATTGGATCTGGCTTGGATGAGATCTAATGGTGATGAGGTGAGGGCACATGATGGACTTGCGAAGGCTTGGTGTGCTGAATTTGAAAGAAAAATATGTGAAAAAAACAAAAGGGTACCATTAGGGCTCGAACCCAGGTCCCTATGGTTATAACGCTCTTGTATTACCTTTGGGGTGGTTGTTTCATTCGGTTATGAAACAACACCCAATAAATATATTACAAACTCATTTTTCAAATTTGAAAATGCTATCTTCTTCTTCCTCGCGAGTGTAGACTACAACAACACCATTGATGGATATCAAACTCCTCGATTTCTCAACCATTTTAAGAAATATAAACATGAAAGTTGTTCTAAATTTCGCCACGAATTTAACCATGCCTCTAACTTTAAATAACACTCAAAGATTAAAAAGAATTTTACTCAGTACCAAAAATGAAACCTAACTGGTAAGAGCATTGATTCTCACTCCATAAGCAAAATTAATGAAAACTAATGATATGGTTAGCTTCAGGATATTGATATCTACATTTTATCTTTTGAAATTGAAAGCAAATGATGCATGTATATGGATATCACAGTTGGAGAAACTTACCTCTTGAAGTGAGAATCTAGTTTGAAGTTAGAGCACTTTTAGAGGTGTTAAAATGATCTGGATAGCTTCACTGAACTCCCAGGAAGCTTTTTCAATGCCTACTCTAGATTGAGAGTGCCTTAACTCTTCTGGACAAGTCAAGTTGCAAAGGTGTTTGAGCTTGGTTTGGATGAAGTGTTTGGCATGTTTCAGTGACAAACTAATGCATACAGAAGCTTAGTTATGATGTGGAGATGGTGTTTGAATGATAAAAGAGATAAACACACGAGTGGATTTGAAGTTGGGTGTTGGAAGCTTCAAATATGCAACAATGGTGGTTTCTTGATGATTATGAGTTTGAGATAATTTGAGGGTGTTTTGGAGCTGTTAATTCGTGCCTTGGCTTGAAAATGGACTCTCTATTTATAGAGAAAAGGTTTGAGAGCAATGGCTGGTCAGGTTTGCAAGTTATGGAGTTATGGATTGGTTGAAATGTAACTTGAAGTTTCTTGTGAAGTCAAAGTTCCGATGCATGGTACCATGCCTTCTAGAGTGGTTGAACACTTTAAACATATTTTTCTGACTTGTTAAGTTGAGTGTGTGCAGAGGAAACAAGTGATATGCTCAAGGATATTTGACAATTGCATAAAGCATGCTTTTCTAAAATGGAAGTGTTAACTTTGTGCCATTAATGGAATGATGCATTGGGAAATTATTGAATCAAATGGACCATAGTTTAAAAGCTTGTGTAATCTTATGATTAGAGATATATTTACAATTTTAGAGGCCTGCAAAGGGAGATTACAAGACATGGCTATGAGATTTGATTATGAGTTCATCACAAAAATGACCTATAATTCAAGTTTGACATGCCATCTTCATCTCTTCGAAACTTCTAGCTCATGTATGATAAATTTGTGTTCTTTGACATT